CACAGGCAAAAAACCGATTTTTCAAACCTTTACACTAAAATCGTAAAGGTTTTGGACCGCCTCCGCCTCGGCGACCGATTAATCGGCCGCCTCGGCCGATTTTTAGAACACTGATGGGCAGTGATGTGCTTTATGTTGTATATACCCTTTGCACTCCGAGGGACTTTTGGCTAATTCAAATTATAGCATTTATCTTAGGGTAAATTACATCTACACCCCTAAAGTATGCTAAAATAACTTTAAGGTCCCTATGATATCGGTAATTACAATCACCCCTGAAACATTGTTAGAAACTCTAACGAAATAATGCATTGGATAAGTTATTCCATTAGGGTTCTAACGGACTATTAGTTTCAGGCAGTGGTGGAGACAACATTGAGCTACGGGTTGACAATGGCATGGCTCTCCTAACATTTCTTAATTCCTTATTAGTTTATATAAGATTTATAAATTTTCGTATATGGTAGCATTAACTGCCCCGCGGGAAACAAATATAGTGCATATCAGTCGACATACATGAAATTTTGGCTCCGGTAATTGTTTCAGGGGAGTGGCTGTAATTACTAATACCACAGGGGCTTTAAAGTTATTTTAGAATACCTCATGGGCGTAGGTGTAATTCTTATATGTATGGAATTTGTTGTAACATGCCATGCAGAAAATTCTTCCTAAAAAAATTGATTTTTAAGTTTTAACTATTTTCCTAAAATCATAGTCAATTCATTGGATAGAGTCCACACCACCGTACCCTACTTGCACCCCCATCCCAATCGATTAAGTGCAAAGTATGCTATTACAATAGCACGTTAATCCTACCCATTGGATTGAATTATTTTAAAACATTTTTGCTTTCCTTGATTTTGCAACTTTTGCCACTATAAAATCTAAGATTTGTACTCTCCATTACCATCCCAACAGAAACACTACATTGATTAGGTAGTACAAGTTCGACCTAATTAATTATGGAAAACCTTGTTTTTTCTTTGGTTCTTTTCTCACTGGCCCTGGCTATGCCATGGGCCAATGCTACTGACCAAGGCCCCGAAGAAGCATGGTTTCGGAGCCTTTGCCAAGGCAAAGAAAAAGTAGCCCAACTGCGTTTTTACATACAAGATGCACTGAGCGGCCCGAACGCAACCGTGTGGGAGGTAGCCCGTTCCAACATCACATCGACTTCGCCCACATCATTCGGTCAAGTGAGGGTCATCGATGACCTCATCACTGCTGGGCCCGACCCGAGTTCGATGAAATTGGGCCGGGCCCAGGGGTTGATCACCATGGCCGACTTGCAAGTGCCGGCCATTGCTATGAACATCAATTTCTACTTTAGTGCTGGAAAGTACAACGGGAGTACGCTTTGCATTCTTGGGAGGAATCAAATACTGAGTCCGAATCGCGAGTTGCCGGTTGTGGGTGGGACCGGTGCTTTCAGAATGGCGCGTGGGTACTCGATATCCAACACTTACTCTTATGATATTGTTGCCAATTATGGTGTTCTAGAGTATGTTGTTTATGTCACCTATGTTGAGTTGGAGGAGTAGTACTATATATATGCGACTCTTGTCGCAAATAAATGGAGAAATATGTAATAAGAATGGAAGAATAAGATGGAAATTACTGAATTTTCATTTTTTTTAATGATTAAAATGTTATTTAATTTGAGCTTTGTCAGTACATATGTCCAGCTTGTTATTAGTTTCATAATTGATAAATGAAACTATTTTGTTTTCGCATACAAGGGCTTCTTTTTTTGCGTATGATCCTTATTTATGAAGATCCATTTTGACGCATAATTTAATTTTGACTTCAATTTTGACCATCGCGTTGACTTTTTTTTCCCAAGGTCATTTTTTTGGCCCCCGGTAATATTATTGTAGTTATTAGTAATATTAACTGTATTATTGTTTAACACATTAATATAAACAGTAATATTGTTATACTACAACTATCTAGCACAGTAATATTAACATAATAAAATCAATGTGTTACATAATAAATTATTGTGTAATATAATAATATATTATTCCATAAAAAGGGAAACTTATCAACAAATGGAAACAAAATAAAAGGCTAAAAAGTAATATTGATGTGTTTGACAGCAACATTACAGTTAACCACTGAAATATTATTGTCAACATCAGTAATGTTACAATACTAGACAGTAATATTACTGTCAACCACAATAATATTATTACGTTGACTGGTCACCAAATCAAACAAAAAAACAACTCGAAAAAATAATATTAATGTGATTGACAATAATATTATTATGTTTACATAACTTGAATGTCAATCACGGTAATATATCCAACCGGAGAACTGTTTCAACAAAAAAGATATCAAACAAAAAGTAAAAAAAAAAAAAAATAAGAAAAATCTACACAACCGGAGATCGGCATTGATGCTGCAGAAAAAAAAAAAGGAAAGGTCAACGCTAGAGTCTGGCGTTAATCGGCTTCAATGCCGGTCTCCGGCGGTGGTAAAAAAAATCAGAAAAAAATAAAATGTTTGAAAAGAAAAAGTCAATATCGAATTTTTGTGATCAAAATTAAAGAATTAGAGTTAAATTAGAGTTACAACTATGAATTGGGTTTAAAGAGTTTGGGATAATATTTTCGTAAACATTAAATTTGTGTTTGTTTATAATACATATTAAATAATGAGCTTATTGGGAAAGGTGATAAAATACATGAATCTAGATTCTAGATTACTAAAGGTTGTTGGTCATAGTTGGATTGTAGGCAAATTACCGACAGTTTTTTTGTATTTGTATTGTTTATAGTTGTAATAAAAAAATATTAGACTTTAACATTTTACTAAGTAATCTACTTGGTTTTTGACGTAGTCCAAATGAATACGTATTGGTATTTAATAATTTTAGAAATTATAATTTATTTTGATGATATGATCTGAAGTGGTATCGAGAAATTAATTTTAATATTTTAAAAATAAAAAAGAAGAATATAATTCTTTTTAATTATGTATTATATATTAGGAGAAAAAAATGAAGTGTCTCGATTTAGATTTTAAGCTACAAGTGGTTAAAGTCAACCCTCGGTGGAACATTGAATAACATAAAATTTAATTAAACTAGTAACTTGACCAATACGACGTACGAAATTTGAAAAATATAGTTTCAAAGTCATTTTATACAATTCAATAAAAATATAACCATCACTCACATCAAAGAAAAAAAAAATCTATTTAGATTCTAGGGGCTCTTTCACAAACACCCTTTATTGAATTTTGACTTCTTAATAAATCCATTTTTTTTAATGGATATTTGTTATAAATCCAATTGATTCTAATTGTCCAAGATGTCCCTATTTACTATTATTGAAAATTAATATATTATATTATTGTGGAAAAATTCATTAAAATTTTGGTAGATATCCATCCCCTATTATTTCTCCATATCTCATATTTCACGTCATTTTAGTTAATTCTTTCCCAATTTCTTATTTAATTTTTAATGGTTTTTTTTTACAATTTAAAACAAAAAATATTTTTTCTTTCTTCAGTTTTTTAAATGGTTAATATTTAAAAACAAATTGAAATCCACTACATACTCATCGAAAACCACTGAATTTATCGAAAATTACTATAAAATTAAAGTAAAATTTACTATAAAATAAACATAATCCACATTAATATTAATGTAATTCACTATTAAATTAGTGCAATCCACTGTTAAATCAGTGTAATTCATTGTTAAATTAGTATAATCCACACATGAAAACTACTCTGTATAAACAACAATATAAACATGAAAACCACTATGTATAAACACCTATATAAACATGAAAACCACTCTGTATAAACAACTATATAAACATGAAAACTACTCTGTATAAACAACTATATAAACATGAAAACCACTATGTATAACAGCTATGTAAACATGAAAACCACTATGTATAACAGCTATGTAAACATGAAAACCACTATGTATAACAGCTATTTAAACATGAAAACCATTATGTATAACGACTATGTAAGCTCTCATGCTCAGATAAACAACAACATAACGTTCAAGCAAAACACACACGTACATACATCTACAATTTTCTCGAGATAACTCCTGATTGAGTTGTTGGGCTTTGATAATCCATTAAAACATAACATTTTTTGGGGTTGATAACTCTAGCTACAAATGGGCTTTTTATGCAATTTTGTGGGTACTTTTTTGTAAGCTGTTTGCACCGGTAATATTGCATTCAATTTAATGCTTTGTTAAACCATGATATATAATTTTATTCTTTTCAATTACGTCTTGTGTATTTAAAATGTGGTGCTCACGCATATTTGAAAAGTCGAGATTAATAATTCAAGCTTAACTGGGTTTGGTCAGCATCAACTAATTTCGAAGTTACATTCATTCTGTTTAAATGTTATTAATTTATGATAATTGTGTATTATTAATTTCATTTTTTTGACGTTACTAATTTTGGATTTAATTAAGATATTTACTAAAGGAGAGAGAGAGAGAGAGAGAGAGAGAGAGAGAGAGAGAGAGAGAGAGAGAGAGAGAGAGAGAGAGAGAGAGAGAGACGTATATAAGGTGTTATTTAAGATATATAAGGAATATATATTATATATCTTTTAATATCAAAATTAAAGATACCTTGTTTGTTAGTTAGGGGTATAATGGTGATAATTAAGTGTTTTTAATTAATAAAAGTTGTTTTGGATTTATCTTAAAAATGTAAAATAAAATTGGGTCTATTGTAATGACACTTGTGTAATGAGGGGGTTTTGTCAAATTTTCCCTAGATTCTAAGCTACAAGTAGGGCTGGCAATCGGGCCGTGTGAGCCGAGCCTGGGTCGGCTCAAGCTCATATACCATCGGGCCTCATTATTAAAAGCTCAAGCTCAAGTACCATCGGGCCTCATGCATATAGGGTCAAGCTCGGCTCACGTATTTTTTCGGGTTTCGGGTTTATATCGGGCTTATATTGGGCAATAAATAAATTACATATTTTACAACTTTGTAGTCGGGCGTGTGAAAGAAGAAAAAAACTTCGCAAGCTAAGATAAAAATTTAGAATATTCATTGAAAATCAAAATAAGATGATTAAAAAAAAAGAAAAAAAAAACCGTAGTCTACTGTTCTTTAAAACAAATGAAGGTTATTGTTGCAAATATTTAATCCTTAATTAACACGGGGTTGATGCGTATCCAATGTTAAGCAGCGTGGGCACCT